GGCCTTCCCAAACGCGGCCTAAGTATATAAATTAGGTCTTGTGTGTGAATGGCCCATAATTTATTAATAAAATGAACAATTTATTATGAAATTGGAAACTTCAACAGACGTGATGTAATTTTTAAAATCACAGAGTACAATTTACTTTGCTTTGTTTGGGTTTTCTAAAAACACTTTTTATAAATTTCTACTTTCTTATTTTTCATTTTTTTTTGTTTTTACTGAATTTTTTAAATATTTTAAGCAAATTTTTTTAATTTTTAGATACACCTAACAGAAATACACTTAAAAAGTATAATTTTCGTAAAAAATCTTTAAAAAATTCACTAAATACAAAAAATACAAAAATTCAATATATTTTTCGTATTTTTGTGTATTTATTAATTATTTTGAAATATTTTTTCCACAAATATTTTTACTTTTTAGATACATCTAAATAAGGTGCATCTAAAAAAAATAAAAATAAAAATGCTTAAAATTTTTAAAATATTTACTAAAATTAAAAAATATAAAAATAAAAAATTTAATTTTCAAAAAACTAAAACTAAATAGACTGATTTGTATTTTAACCAAATGGTGTAATTTGTCTTATATTGTTTTATTAAAAATGTGAACACACTTATTTTTAAAATAAATAAATAAAAATAAATTTATTTTTGGTAACCAATGAGATAAGGAAACACGGGAAATGAAGTAGGGTTTATCATTCTTCATATTTCACGCCATCATTATATACCATCCACACTATAAATTTGTAGCGTTTTCATCTTCTACAATCTACTAAAGTTCATTGGGTATTATTTCTCTCTTTCTCACTCTCACACACACAAGCAAACACATACAATACCTCTATATTTGTCTCTTATTTATAATCTTCTTGTTTTAGGTATAAAACTTGATACAATCTGAAAATAAAATCTTTTGATCCATGAATTTCTTAATTTTCATCTTTTAAGATCAAGGGTTAATTGTGATTTATTATTCTTGAATTTATGTTGTGATTTTATATAATGCATTGCAAGTGTTTGTTAAATGCCTCAATAAAATCCCTCATTATTTTGCTGCCTTTTTTTTTTTCTTCCCCTCCTGTTTGTAAGGACTGATTTATGGAGTGATTTGTGGCTATGTTTGAATTTGAATTTGTAGATGAAAAAAAAGAAGTTAAAATTAATGATTTTGGGATACCTATTAGTTTTTTGACGTGTAAATATAGAAAAAATTAACAAAAATTTGGACAGAATAACTAAACTAAAATTAAATTTGAAGTGTAGAAATAAAATTGTTCAAATTGAAAAAATAGGTACCAAAATAAAATTGATTATTTACACAAAATTAAGAAGTGAAACATAATTCCACACACACACAAAATTCTGATAATTACTTGATTGAGAGTTAAACAATAAAAAGATGCACATAACAAATAAAAACATGACACCACCCACCCATGTCAGAGACAGTGCCTGACCTGAGATAGATTTTGCACAAAGTCCTTTACCGAGTAAGGAACATTCACCAACTTTGACTTCCAAAGTCCTATCCTTACCTTTACCAATTCTCCAAGCTCTTCCATATTAGCTTGGCAATTATTAAAAATACAATCATTTTTAAGACTCCAAACTGACCACATCATTGCAACTGGAACAAGCCTCCATATCTTCAAAACCAACTTTTTAAATTTGGTTCCCAGCCACCAAAGCAACACACTTTCCATTGTTGCAGGTGTGACCCAACTTAGACCCCTCCACTGTAGCATTTTTGACCAAACCTTCCAAGGTTCAAGGCAGAGCAAGAACAGGTGATCCACTGTTTCTGTCTCAATTTTGCAGAAAGGGCAAACATTCACCATTTTGCTGCTCAAAACCCCAATCCTCTGCATAAAATCAATTGTCTTCACCCTTCTTTTCCATACCAACCAACCCAGAAACTGTGCTTTTGGTGGTGCCACACATTTCCATAACAGCCTAGATACTTTCAAGCTAGGTCCTTGTTAGAGCTTATGCCACTCTCTTAATGCCACTTTGAACTGATTAGAAGGATGGGCTGCCCAACTAACTGAATTAGGATGTTCGAGAATAAGCCTAGGGGCCTCTCTAGTTAGCCCTTGTAGCCAGGGCCGGCCCTGGGCTAAGGCCCGCCTGTGCCTAGGGCTCCAAAAATTAGGCCCACAAAAGGCCCCAAAATTCATTATCTTCTACTATATCAAAAATTCAAAATGGCCCAATTTTGTTTAATTAATTTAGGTCATTTTAAAATGCCTCAAAAGTTCTATTTGGCCCAATTGATAAAAGGCCCAGTTAAAAAATATTTATAAGTGTTAGTTGTTAGCCCAATTAAAAAAATATAAAATAAAATATATGTATATTTCTGTGCGGCCTATTTTTTTTTCTTCTCTTTTTATAGCCCAATTATGTGTTTTTTAGTGGTTTTTTAAATATTTTAAGCCATTTTATTTATTTATTTATTTATTTTGTAAATACATCTAATTTAGATACACTTAAAAACTATAATATATGTGCTTTTTTAAAAAGACAAAAAAAAAAAAAAAGTTGCCAAATACAAAAATTATAAAAAAAAATATGAATTGCAAACTCAGATAATTATTTTTGAAAATTCTAAACCAAACAAGATGATTTTTATTTTTATAAATATCTAAAAGACCCCAAAAAATTATTTCGCCTAAGGCCCCCGAAAACTCAGGGCCGGCCCTGCTTGTAGCCTTATGACCTCCTTTTCCTTCTAATCTAAGAGAGATCTTCTGAACACCAATTTCAATCCCCTGATAGGTCCCTCCTCTGCATTAACATTCTGAGAGTGCCTTCCTTCTCCATAGAGAGCTTGAACAATCTAGGAAACTCCTCTTTTCACTTTAAGTTCATGAACCACTTGTCACTCCAAAAGTTTATCCTATTCCCATCTCCAACCTCAATTTTAAAGTTAGGTGCACAGAAATTATTCAAAGCAGGGTTAGATTTTGCTTAAAATATCCTTCCAAACATTAGATTCATTTGCTTCCATCTCCATTGCTGGTTTCCACGTGCCCCCTTCAGATCCATATTTTTGCTAATGATAACATTCTTCCACAATGCTTTATCTTTCACCCCATATCTCTCCACCACCACTTGGCTAACAACTCATTCATATCTATAGCTCTTCTAATCCCCAATCCTCCTTGATCTTTGCTCTTCTAATCCTTGCTCTTCTCTATTGACACCTGCAAATTTCTCACTACAACAACCTCACACTCTTTTTCCATAGGGTGCTTAGGTAATAAATGATAAGATTATTTGGTTTAAAAATTATGTGAGATATAGTAAGAAAGAGAACTCCCTTATTTTGCCTATTTCAATTTTTTCTTTTTTTGTTGAAGATACTCATCATCAGAAGAAACGATCGAACCATCTCGCCCTCACCTCTCCGGCGGCGATTTCAAGTAAATCCCAACATCGAAAAACTAGAGTTTTGAATTAGGCTTCAATTTCTATACAAAATCATAACTATTGCTTCCTATTTTCTGACATTTATTCTGTTCGGGTTTTTAATATTAAAAAAAAAAAATAGGTCTTTTGAATTTATAAATTTAAAATTGGGGATTGTTGAACATGAAAGATTGGGGCTTTTGAAGATGTTTTTAATTGGATTGCTTTGTTTCACTGGTCATTTATTTTTTGGTACATGTCACTAATGCTTGTTTCTTGAGATATGCTTGTACATGAAAGATCGGGGCTTTTGAAGGCTTTTGATATTTTGAATTTTCTTGGAATATTTATTTAATTTCACGAGATTAAGAAGTATTTTACTTTAAATTAGAGCTCTTCCTTAGTCCTTTATTAATCTACACCGAGATAATGCAAATATTTCTTGGTGGCATGCATTAATTCACAAAATGTAAGACAAATATCTCTGGAAAGAGTTTTACGCATGATCTTTTGACTTCTACTGTGCCCTTTTCTTGGGAGGTTTGGATATGTTGATTGGTTGTTTCCTTCATTGTTTTGTCATATTGGTCTAAATTTACTCCTGCAATTCAAACTTTTCGAGAAAGTATTAGAAGGTGGTACATTACTCCTACAATCCGATTCATTTTTTCTCACTTTATCCTTTATTTCTGCCAACCCAAGTTCAATCTTTTGTGTTTACCTTCATCGTTGGAAGCAAGTTCTACAATTTCATTCAATGTTTTGTGCTCCTTTTCATGAAACTTTGCATTGAAATCAACCCCGAAGTTAGTGTATGTGGTTCTAAAGAATGTGTACTCTTTTTCCAAATCCTTTCTCCATCTTGGCATAATGTATTTATTTGGAACCTCATTTACGCACCTTGTACTAAGCACACAGAGTGAGTGGGCACACATAATGCCCCTAAATTCAAACAACTGACAGATACATTGGAGCTCACATTCAGTTAAATTACAATAGACAACAAACTCCACTTGCATCAACTTCTCACCAACTACAATAGATTCCTTGACATGGTATGTAGAAATTGGTCCCTCTTTGATAAGTAATGGATGACAGTAAACTACTCGCTTCAATTCTACTTGAACTTCTTTAAATTTTGCATTGGTGTAAGCTGCCCAAAATTGCTTCTCAAAGCCATATATCGTTAGGCAATCATACAATTTGTGTCAAGATTTAAAGTTTTCTTCTTTTTCTCTACCTTACTTCTCAAAGCATCATCATATTGTTCAAAAATTTGCTTTAAAGTAGTTTTCGAGTTCACATATCCATCAAAAAATGCATTCACGATCTTAGTTTGTTGTGTAGTTGACATGCCAACCAAAAAAAATGTCTTTAACATAGACAGATACCCACCAATGTCACTCACCATATAATACTCCCAACCACATTATCATAAAGATTGAACTTTGCAATCATCGCTTACCATTCTTTAACAAATTCATCTTTTGTGAAAGAGTCATAAATTGAATTTTGCAAAGCAAACTTTACGTGTTCATATTGGAAATATCCTCTCAATTTCTCTGGGATTTTGTTCATTATATATCATAAGCACCGTCGATGTCGAGCCTTTGGAAAGAGAATTTCTATGACATTTTGCATAGCTCTACACTGGTCAGTTATTATAGCTTTTGGGGGAGCATCAAACATGCAACTTAACCATGATCTAAATAGCCAAACAAATATATCAATGTTCTCATTACATAACAACCCACAACCAAGTAAAATTGATTGTCCATGGTGATTAACTCCTACAAACAGAGCAAACAGCATATCATAGTTGTTCGTGAGATAACTTGTGTCAAATGAAACAACATCCCCAAATGCTTCATAAGTCGCCCTACTCCTTGCATCCGCCCAAAACAAGTTTCGAATGCGACAATCTTCATCAAAGTCAATCACATAATAGAAGTTCGAATTTTGTTGTTGCATCCTCTGAAAATAATCTCGAAGTGATTCGCCATCTCCTACCCCAAGCCTTAATTTTCTAGCACTCTCAATGTGATTCCTTGCATCTCGCTCATCAAATGTTAATGCCTCATATCCCCCTGCTTCAACAACTATAGAATGCAAATTCTCAGCCACTCCAATCCCTACTTCATCGTTAATTTCTAGTCTTCTCTTCGCAAGAGTAAGAAATCTCTTATTCATTGCAAAATGTCGTGAGTCAGTTGGAGTCAAGTCATGGGTATGCTCAAGCATAACTGTTGTTAACATATATCTTCCATCCTTTCGTAAACTTGCTCGTACCCTTGCTTTGCAATCAATTTTTGTTGACAAAGATGGCTTTAAGGAGTTTACTTCTGATTTTTTTGTTCTCTTTCTCGTCCGAGTACATTCAATTCCAAAGTATTTTACTTCCCATCATCTCCAACATTTTGTGTTCTATAAGCTATAGCAAATCCAACGTGTTTCGCATATTTTGCATAAAAATCGTACACTTCTTGCTTTGAGCTAAAACACATTCCCTTCTGAGGTTCTTCAACTTCTTCACTCTCATTTAATGAAGGATTGTTTGAATCAATGTCCATTGTTGCTCTTTCAAGCTTGAAACTAAAACATAAACAAGAAATTCAAATGAATAAAAATGTAGACTACTTAAATGGAGGCTGCACTATTCTGTTAACGATTTTATTCATAATTTGCACCAGGTTAGATTATGCAGTAGTGAAGGTGGCTGACTTAGTGCTGGTTCTGTTTGCGGGTATTGAAGGCATAAAAGACAAGCCAATGGATAGTAACAAGAAAGATGGTAGGCAGCCATTTCAAAACAACTAACAGCAATTTGTTTAGGTTGAACTTGAACTTATGTTTTGGAAAATGACTTGTCCATGAGCCTCGACTTGAAGCATGTGGTCTTAGGCATTATAACTGGAGATGTGCCCATGTTCTTGTGTTGGACAATTTGAGACAACAAAAAGATGAAGCAGATTTGAATAATTATGCCTCGTTTGGCAAGTTAACATTTTAGTCAAAAAGTTATTAAAAAAGTCAAAAAGCCTATAAACTATACCAAAAAGTCAAAGATTCTCTTTTCTCTCTACTATTCCAACTCATTCATGTGAACCAAATAGAGCATTATGACAAAAAAGAATCAGTTGGTGTGGTGGTGTGGTGTCACAACCCAAATGGAGATGCTTCAATTTGTGATAAAGGAGAGGATATGCTTCAATTTGTCTTTTTTTTTTTCTTTTTGTTGGTTGATGGGTGCTCTTCATTACTCTCTTAACCCACAAAGCCACTCAACTGTTTCCAATTCATTGTTACAAAAAGAAAAATGCTTCGGACCCCCATTGGGGGTTGACCCCCAGTGAGGTGGCGCGCCGTGATTGGAAAAAAAAAAAACTGTTTTATTTATTTATTTTTTTTTTGAGTTTCAGCCAGTGGGGGCTCGCCACCTCACTGGGGGTCTGACCCCCACTGGGGGTCTGCAGCATAGTTGTTACAAAAAATACATAGGTCGCTCAAACAAATCAAGCAGCCATAGAAATCTCAGATGGGTTTATGAGCAAAACTCAGATGGGTTTAATTACAAATAAAGCAAGTCAAGAAAGGAGAGTAACATTGGAGAAAGAGCAACAGAAACGCTCAAGTGCATTCAATTCAAAAGTGCAAAGGGCAGGGTCAACATAAACTGCCCAGCTTAAGATAAGAAAGGTGACCCACTCAAAAAAAATAAATAAATACATAAAAAATAAAATCAGAGCTTACCTCACCGCTGAAGAGTGAGAAATGTCGGAGTGCAAGAGGAGTGGTGCACTGGTGGTCAGTGGTTTGTTTGAAGAGAGCAGCGAGAGAGAGAATTTAAGGGTTGTTTCGGGTGTCCTAAAAACAATCCCAAACAAGTGCACTTTAGGATTGTTTGGGCTGTCCTAAATGATAAAATTTAATGGAAAACAAATTTTTGATTATAAAATATTTATAATATCAAGATTCATTTAAAATATAAATAATAGTTTAGTTTGATTTTCTTACTTTTTTTTTTTGGGTGAATAAATTTTCTTACTCTTATTTCATACATTTTTTGCCTTTTATCTATATATATATATATATATATTTATACATCTTTTGCCTTTTATCTATATTAATTTGTTTTTTTTCCCCTACAATCATTGAGGGTGTATTATAGAATGGAGTGTGAATTATAGATTTTTTTTATCCACCATCACTAGGGACAGCTACCTACAAGAACTAATGAATCAATTGTCTGTCCATCCAAGTTCTACATAAGATATAACTAATAATTTTTTAATCATAATCAAAATAATAATTACAATAGATTATAATTAACATCACAATTAGAAATAGCAACGGGTCGAAAATTTTTGAGTTTCAAAGACAATTCTTAATTTTAAATTTAACTAGTTTGACGATACAATTTCATAGTTTACTCTAATAATAACATTTTTGACCTTCAGACCGTTATAATTTACCATACCTATTAATGTTGTGCAAAAATTTACCCTACCCTATTAATGTTGTGCAAAAGCTTTTGCTTGTCTCTATATAGTACTGGGTAGCAGACTTGCAGGTATGTTTCTCCTTTTATGTGTGAATTTAAATATGTTTCTCTTCTTAAATATGTACGTACCATGTTGTTGAATACACATATTCTTCATTCATGGTCTATTAATTTGGTGTTTATGAACTTGAAATTTCTCAAACCACAAACCAAATTTTGAATGTAAAGTGTGCCAACTAGCTTGTCAACGTCTACAAGCTGTTTGATAAAATTCCCCACTGACCATTCACTCATGCACATTGTACTTGGCTATGCATTTTTGTTGTTCTGTTTTGAAAATTTGTCGAGGGTACGTATGATAGTGTTGATGAACTCTATCTGAACACAACTCAATTGACTAACAAGTAATTATGTGGCTCTTGGATTTAGGGGGGCAGAACCAAGAATTATGTTTGAGAGGGGCCAATGTTTATGCATAAAAAATATTAAATTAGTTTTGATATATTACTCATTGAATATAATTTCTTATATAAGCGTTGTTAAAGAATTATTTCACGAGAAAACTAAATAAATCTAAAAAATAGTTTTTTCAATTTTGAGCTATTAGATCTCAATATACAATTAGTTGATTTTATATAATCTAGTAAATAAAAAGTGAAAAATGCTTAAGATCCCTGAAAAATGCTTAAATTTACACTCAATGGCATTAAATGTTACATGTCAATTGATTTGTTTATAAATCAATTAACTAAGACCTAACCCCTGCCATGTCACTGTAAATAAATTTAAGGGTGAAGTTTTAGGTTCTCTGGCATTACTCCTAAAAAAGTATACATATCATTTGATTTCTAAAATCCAAAAAATAAGTGACATGTACCTCTTGTTTTAATAAAATCAACTAAAGATAAAATATATGCTGTTATTTAAAACGTGAAATAATTAGAGATCATTTCATTAGATGTTGTAAAATATTAACGAAATAAAAAGGTAGTAAACTATTTCTTATAAAATTTAAAAATCCACCTTATTATACATTTTACAAATACTCATAAATATAGAATTAATAATAAATTGTCGAAAATCGGAGGGAGGCGGGGCCCCTCCCCTGCTTGGATTCAAAATCTGTTTTCCTTTAGCTAAGAAAGCAAGAAAATTTACTTTGAGACTTATAATGTAGAAATGCCAAGGTTCTGATGTGAGCCCATGCTATTTTATTCAGTTCAACTTATAATATTGTTGTGGCGGTTGTATTTTTAGTTATGAAATTGTATATTGGTGTATGAACGGGTGTTTAGCAGGGGTGATGTGTTGTATCAATGTTGTGGTAGTTGTATTTTGAATTAGGGATTTATATCTTCTGGTGTTTGGAATCCAGACTTTGGGTGATTGTTTAGTAAAGAGATTCTGTTTTATAGCTCTGATGTGGGCTCTGACATGGTGGTACTTTAAAGAGTCAAAATCCATGCAATTTGGCATTAAAGAGCAAGAGAAGTGCTTCTATGATGCTTACCACTTTGTGCCTTTGGTTTCTTATAAAAGCCATGACCTTCTTTTGAGTGGGTTGTACTTCTACCTTTGGTTATCCCCTCTTTTGTTTTCTAGGAGCTTTAGGATAGTTATTGGACTTACAATAAGGGGGAACCATAACATTGTCTGTTCTTTGACAATCGGCAAAGTAATTTGGACTATAAGTTGCTCACTGCAGTCAGTTGATGTGTAAGAGTAAAATTTTCCTAGAATTTTCCCGCTTCAACTATTTCCTGTGGCAGTGTGATTGAATGCTTCTTACATGGTTGTTGTAGTGTTTGTAACATCAAATTCTTATTGATTCTGGAAGATGTTATGTGGATTAAAAATGAATTGCACAACAATCATGTAAACTTTCTTTCTATGGTCAATTGTTTCAGCAATAAAATGGCAAATGGTTTGATATGGGCAACCACAGTGGATTTGGCAAGGAATAGTGAGCAGATTGTTTCTCTTTATTGCCAACTATTGTAGAGGCTTAACTCCCCTGATTTGCCACTGAACTTGGCAGCAAGACTGGCCAAAAAAGCTGAGGTTCGTGCCATCTTCATGCTGGCTTCTGAGGAGCGATCCCTCCACAACATCAAAGATCTCATTGATGCTGCTGAGTACTCCCTCTCCCTCTTAAGAAAAGGCCAAATCCCCAAATACATCCAATGAATAAGTTATTCATCATCCTGAAGTCTCTCTCTCCCTTTGTGTGACTATGTGATTGGCCATGAAAGATATTCTAAACTAGTTATTGCAGTAACTTATTGGAATGAACAATGTTGATAAAACTTTTTGATGATTCTGATTGAGAAATGAAAATTCCTAATCATTGTGTGCCATGCACCAAGATATGTTTTAGCATTTTATTGAATTTGACTTGTGATTAGCAGATAATGTAGATTTTGTTTGTGTTCTACATTGTACGAACAGCTTTGGCCAAAATGACTTCTTTTTTTGCTCTTGATTTTTTTTAGCAGATAATTCACCAAGCTGGCCTGCCACCCAAATTTTCAATTTACAGTTTCAAAGAATATGTTTTCTATGTATATCATATATGTGAAAGTCTACAAAAAGCTTGTGTTAGAGTGAAACTATCCTTGTGTATTTGTTTTGCACACCATGTGTTTGTTTATTTTCCTTGTAGAAAGAAAAGGTAAATAGATAGTTGGTGGAAAACTGGAAGCACTGCCTCAATAAGCGTGCTTGCGCATCCATGTTCAAATTTTGTTTGTGTAGATGTACTTGTTTATGTACTATATGTGAATTTGACAGTATTGTGTTTGCAGGTGAATGACAACAACCATAATTCATTTCTGTATCAATTTTGTTTTGTGGCTCTACTGCTCTATGGTATGTCTCAACTCCTGAGTTTTTCATCCTTGCGGTTCCATTGGTACTTGAAAATTAATCTATTTGACCTCTTTTGACTTGTAGGGAACCAGCAACAAGGTTAACTCTTGGCATTAATTTTGCATTGAGTGCAATAATATGAAACATTATTACTTCAATAAATTTCTAACAGCTCTTAGTTACCAAAGATGGTAGATATTTTGTTGAATATGGCCTTTTCCCAACTTTTTGAATAGGGCTTAATTTGATTCCTGGGTCTGCGACTGTCTATGTGTGCTGTTTCCTATGGACCCCAGCTATGTCAATGCCATTTTTACCCAAATTTCCAACCCAAATATTAGTATTTACAATGTGATCGACACCACCATCCAGTGTCTTCACCAACGGTCTGACACGACCATAAACTGTCTTCTACATCGGTCTGACACGACCACGCAGTGTCTGCTACAACTGTCCGACATGACCCCGTAAACTGTCCTGCTACAACGGTCCGACATGACCCCGTAAACTGTCTTCTACAACGGTCCGACATGACCCCATAAACTGTCTGCTACATCGGTCTGACACGACCATACCGTGTCTCCTATCCTGTTTTATTTATCAGTTTATTTTTCTGTTTTGTGACTCTCTCCAAACTCAAGTTGGCTAGTGCCTATCCTCCTTGAGTTTGAGGGGGGCTGTTAATGTAAATTGTAAATGTAAATTGTACTCCACCTACCACCTCCACTTCACCTAACACACTCAACTCTACCTACCACCTCCACTTCACCCCCTATCAGCACCACCACAATCTGCTACCTTCTCTTCTATATATAGGAGTTGTAATCAATATACAGATTGATAACAATCTTGTAATACATCAATCAATAAACATCAATCTATCAATTTCTCTTACATATGTAATGAGCACGAGATGAGGATGTATGTTGTTTGTGGGGTTATTGAAGCAGTCCAAAAATCGTTTGATGGAAGTTCTCATAGAGATTTGGTTTCGTGGACGACGTTGATTTAGGGATATGTTAAGATGGTTTTTGGAAAGAAGGTACACAGGTATTTTTCTAGACATGTGAAGTATATTTTGAAGCCCAATAAATGATGATGGTAATAGTTCTTTCTGCATTTGCTAATTTGGGAGATTTAAGTTTGGGTAGGAGGATACATGGTATATGTGTGATCATAATGTGAATTTGTGTCTTCGTTGGGAATCTGTTGGTTGAAATGTCCTTGAAATATGTTGATACAAATTTTGCTCTTGGAATTCTATGATACCAGGATTATGATCAAAGGAAATTCAAATAAGCCTTAAATGTTTTCAGGAAGATGCAGAGTAGAGCTGTCAAACCAAATTTCAAATCATACCTATAAAGTAACGAGATGTACATTAGTGGCAGTGGACACATATAAATTATTTTCTTAAATGGAACTGACTAGAGTAGCATTGTCAGACCGTGTTCCACCATCTATTCTAAAAACAATTGATATTAGGGAGGGTTTCACTTACGTCTTTTGGGGCATTTGACATCAGGCCTGTAGGTTTGTTCTTGGAGCTGTCATAAGGAGTAGCATTCTGCACCCAACGATTCCTCCCTCACGATGATATGCTCCTGCAATGATACCCATTTGTCAGATCACGTTTCACCATTGAGACCTTGGAAAATGGCAAAAATCATTTTTAAAATTAGAGAGGAAGAAAAAAAAAAAAACAAAAAAGTTTAAGAGCTTACACAAGCCTCACAGTACAGTGAAGGTTTTGGTGATTTTGTGTCATAATTTGTTTATTTTAAAGCTAAAACTGTTAAATAAAGTTCATAGAAAGTAAAAAAATGTTCAGTAAATGCATGATGCAAATACCGACTCATCTGAAGCTTGGAAAGAATTTAAGTTCATAATTGATGCCAAATATAAATTTCTGTGGATGGAATATAACAGCAGCCATCCGCCTTAAATTATTTTGCAAATGAAATTGTCCTGTGGATCTAAATTGCAGTTGTTTCAATGTTTTATTAAATTGAAGTTTAGAATGGAATATATAGAAATTTTCTTTTCTTAGCAAAATTAAAAGTTTGTAGACCAACGTACAACTGCCACACCTGCACTGAGAACTGCCCAAAGCATTAGTTACAGAAGCAACCAATGCTGTTCTTTTTTATTTATTATTATTATTATTTACTTTTGAGAATTACTTTGAGTGACATTGATTGTTATTTACATGACAGGTAAAATAACTTGGTGAGCATGGATGGCTTGAAATCTATTAGTAAAGCAATATCGAGAACATTTTCTGTCAGTTTCAGATTATTCTTTTAACCTCAAATTTGTGCACTGTGACTCCATGGGCATCTAACACTTGTTCGGTCCAGCGAGAGGTAAGCAAGAGAAATTGAGATCATAAATTCATTCCCATTATTATGAAGGAATTATGTTATATTGATTTTATGTTGATTGCATATTTCTTCATAAAACTAAAAGTTTACCTAATTGGACTACATTTTTGTGGAATTCTATTGTAATCTTGACTTAAAATTGTTTCTTGCAAAAAAAAAAAAAAATTCTGATTTTTCATGTGGCAACTGATGCCGAAGATGAAACTGATGTCTTGAGATTTGACACTCCGAAGTCCCAACCTTTTAGAAGTACTTTTTTCGGGTTGATATGAAACGGGATATGTTATATGGACTCAAATACAAGTGTTGAGTGCAGGTATGTACTTAAGTGTCTAAGGATATAGAGACATAGCAAAATGTTCATATTTTTTAATATAATTATTTTATTTTCTAGGATAAAAGTGTGTTCATGAAGTGTCATAGACAGAGTATTTCATGCATAATATGGAGATGTATGCATACTTTTATGTTTAACTTGAATTACTAAATATGTCAGCTCGGTGAATATCTAATTACACATTATCATTCCCTTATCTAGGTGTCAAGTGTCCAACATGGATACTTTGTACAGTACACGTAACTCCGCCTCCTTCGTGCCAAAACGAAAGTGAGAATTTAGTTAGTGATCTCTATTAGATTCCGAAAAAATAAAAAATAAAACAATCTATACAGAGATGCTAAACAAAATGTGAAGTGATCCTGTCCATACAATTCTTATGACTGTTTCTTTTGCTGTTGTTGTGCACCATAATTTTTGTTTAAACAAAGACTAAAAAACAGGAAAAGGAGGGAAGCACACAACTATAGCTTTTGCCTCCTATGAACGATCAGGTAGGATGCCTATGTACAAAACTGATTTTTGAACATTATTAACTACTTTTCCGACAAGTCCCATCTGTCGAAGAAACGTATCAGTATGCAACTCCTACATCTTTGGAAACGTATCACTTTAATAATTTTGGACAATTGCATCAAATGAAACATCAATAGAGAGAGAGAGAGAGAGAGCATCAAATAAATTAATTAAGAATAGATTGCTTAGACCAACAAACATGAAACATCTATTAGATTAATTAAGGCGTATAGGCATTATCCATATGGTCAGTTTTGAACAAACTACATTACTTTATTAGAGAGAGTGGGTGAGAGATTTTCACAAACATAGATTCCTTGCCTTGTTATCCAACCCTACCTTTAAAAAAAATTTCCTTTGTTCAAACTAGTTGTAAGACATGGAAATTCTGTTACTCTTTGATCACTATGATCTCAAGACATCTTGGAGCAGGCAACTGATGCAAGTAACGTTTAGTGCATTGCATTAATAATCTTCACCATTGTCTCTCTCAATTACCTCTTCTCAAGTAGCGGGGTTTTTTTATATTATTATTTTTATCATGTGAAATAACTAGTTTTCCTTCCTTAATCACTGTAAATTCTATCAGTTAAATTTCTTTTTTAGACATTATGAAAGTGGAAGAGGTCATGATGCAAAATTTGTATGGAAAAGTTCAGTATTATTTAGTATTTTTCATTAGCTTAGCTCAAAATCACTTTCTTCATTATCATACAAATGAATTAGATTAATTTAATAGGATTCTCCTAGCCAGAACTAGAACCCTTAGCACAAAGTGTTTGAAATAACTACTTTTACGTTGTTATTTCAAATTTATCATGACAAAGCTCTCAAATTCAATCTTGATATTCATATCTAAACTATCAAATCTAAATTTAAGTTATTCTGTTTGAATGGATAGTGTCAAATTCTTTCATTTTACATACATAAATTCAAAGACAACCTAAAATAGTAGTTCTAATGAAACATAGCTTCAAAAAACTAAAAAAGATGACAAGTAGCCTCTAAGTAACCAATTTGTTTGCTGCAACCTTGCCATCATTGCTATCAAATGAACAAACATTTATATATATATATATATATATGTATATGTATATGTATATATGGTAAAACCATTGTGTTGTGCACACAAGTTGGGCGTGCTTTGTTTGCTTGCTAGTTGTATAGCTTAAATAGAAGGGGCTTCATAGTTTGAATTGAATATGGAGTTACTATTGTCAACCGATGAAAAGAGAAATGGTTGGTAGGTTAATTAACAATCTAAATAATTAAGAACTACTCTTTATGTTGATTGTTTTCTCCACAAAATCACTTTAGAACTCATCATAGTGGTTCAGCCTTTTGTCCATTTTTGTGAATCCTTTTACCCTTTCAACTTCATATTGAAATGAAATGTTAAAATGCTTTTGGTTGCAGATAATTTTTATCCAACCGTGGTAAAAAAAAAAAAGTTTGTTCGTTTGCTTATTCCACTTCATACAATGGTATGCGTTAATTTGCTGCTGAAATTATTTGAAAACTTGCGGGCAGTGAATTGAATATGTTTTAACATAGTTACTAGTTATCTTGTGTCAGTTCAAGCTGGCTACCCCTGTTATTTTGTGTTTATTTTCACTTTTTATTCATTTCCTGTGAACATTTTCTTAATGTGTTTTTGACCAATGAAGTTTTGTGGTGAGCTTGGTAATGACCACAGTAGTAATTTAATCAAATCTCAAGTGACTAGGGATTATTGAGAACCATGTATCCTGCATTTCTCAACCTCCACAAGGGAAAATTCATGCATAGAATATTAGTCAAAAGAGCATGAGAGAGAGAGAGTTACCAAGAAAAAAAAAATTGTGAAAAACAGGGCATTTTGACCATATGTGCAATCTGATATACAGAATGTAATAGGAAATATGAGTTTAGCCCTTACTATTCCAGAGAGCAGTTGAAGCAATTCATACCCCCAGCCCAAGAGGAAAAAAAATAAAAAAAAAGTAAGTAACAAAAAATTAAAAAAAAGCAAAAAAATAAACTTATGAACAATTCGAAAGAATGATGTCAATGTTGGTTTTGTTGCATAGCTACTTTAGAGAACATTTTGTTGAATTAGCAGACAATGTTGTAAAGAAAATTGTTGCATATCATTAGAATTTACTTTGATCAATGTACCCCAATTTCATAAATGAGATCCAATGTTAAAACATTTGGCAATTCTGGTGATTTTTCTAGTAATTGGGATGTAAACTTACCGAGTTGAGTTAATATGGAATAATAAGTTTGACAACGTACAACCTAGTCTAGTACGGATATTAATTTAAAAAAAAAATCAAGCACCAACTCGGGGATATTTAAAAATTGTAACATCAACTTTTCATGAACTTAATTTCTATCTGAATCCCAACAAACTTGCTTGTTTCTCTCTTATTTTCATTTTTTGTTTTCCACGCACATTTATTTTTTTTGGTTAATTATACTTTTCATCCCTGTAATTTGACTTAAATTTCACTTTAGTTTCTATAATTTCAATTTGAATAATTTGGTCCATACACTTTAAGTCTAGTTTCAATTTGGCCATTCTGTCTAAATTTTTGTTAATTTTGTCTATGTATACATCTTAAAAAATTGACAAGTGTCTCAAAATCTCTAATTTAGAAAAAAAAAATAAAAAATAAAAAATAAAAAATTAAGATCTTAAAAAATTGACAAGTGCCCTAAAATTGTTAATTTTAATCTCCAATTTAGACGGAATGACCAAATTAACACTAAATAACATTAAACTTAAAGTGTGTAGACCAAATTGTTTAAATTGAAATTATAAAAATTAAAGTAAAATTTGAATTAAATTACAAAGTTGAAAAGTGTAATTTTTCCTTTATTTTTTTTTTATTTTATATTTTCCTTTTCCATTTCTGCAATCCATCTCCTAATTGAAGGACGAATGGTTGCTCTAGTTAGTTTACATTTTTTTTTTGGTCATTTCCTTTTCCTTTTCACATCTTTATTCAAAATTTATAATTCAACCATAACGTAATTGAGTTTTCTTTCCTATGTAATAAAGTTAATTAATAAGTTCCAATTTTAAAAACATTTTTTACATAATCAATTTAAGGAAGAGTTACGGGCTGGTTCTTTGGACTGGACTTAATTCCTAGGAAGTTCTGATCTAAAATAATTTAGTCCATCTTCCATTTTTACTCCTTACATTCAGTTGAGTGATTTTACCCTAAACCCAAACACATTCCCCCTGCTCTCTCTCTCTCTATCACACACTCTCTCTCATATTTCTGTCACTGACACACCATTTCCTCCTCCTCCATCACCAACCATCATCTCCTTCTCCTTTGTTGCTATCACCGTTGCTCTTTCCCCATAATTCATCTGCTAGCTTCAACATCGTAATCCTCCATCATCGATCTACCATCTTTGACATCATCGTTGCCACCATCTTTCTCCATTACCAATTTACCATCTTCAATATCGTTGTTGCCACCATCTTCCTCCATCATTGATTTGGGATACAAAGTGTTCAATCAGTGCATTGAAACATGTTGATATTCTGCAGACGTGTAACTGATTTAATAAATTTGTTACTTAATTCAATGATAAATTTGTTGTGATGCCCCCTCGCTCTCTCAAATCAAGTCTGCTATTTGTAAATTTTTTAACAAATTTATCAGTGATAAATTTATCACTAGTTTATCACTAGTTTAAACAAATTTATTATTGGTTTATCACTGATTTAAATAAATTTATCACTGGTTTAAACAATATAAAGCTCAGAACTCGTCAATGTCGACACATCTATCTCCATTCATGTCGATTTTCTTGATCTCTCTCAGATCTAATATCATCTCTCTCAAATTTAAGGGCCATAGAGATAGTTCTCATGTTCAACAACACCAACGAATTCATCAATGGCTCTAGAACTCATCAATGTTGACACACCCCATCTCCATTCATGTTGATTTTCTTGATCTCTCTCAGATCTAACACTATCTTTCTCAAATTCAAGGGCCACAGAGGCAGTTCTCTTATTCCCCAACACCAATGAATTCATCAATGGCTCTGGTAGTTCTCATGTTCACCAACACTACTAATTCGTCAATGGCTCTAGCAGTATAACAGCAAGGGCAAAATTGGGATAAAAAAAATATAACAGGACTTCCTGGTGCATGAGATAAAAACTTAGGATCTAATGGGTAATAGATTCAATTATTGAGACCGATTGATAAAAAATCTTTAGTTTAAAGTACCACATAAACAATGTTATATGCTGCCCCCAAGTTATTGAATAATTATCCTTACCAAGGCCCATCAAGTATATTTATTAATGGACTAACTCCTCCCCACAAGAGAAACTAGAAATAGGTCCAAATCTCATTATTTGGAGGGAAGTTTTATTTTTAATATATTTGTTTGGGGTTACTCCCATTTAATATACTCCTGTAAAGAAAATAATTAATAAGTCATATTTTACAATTCAAATTACTATTGAATCCTATTAAGTTTTACTATGAACAATTAAACCTTATTTTTCATTTAATATTTCCCAAAAAGATCATTGTTCCATAATGATATATATTATACTAATTTTCCCCCTCATTTAATATAAATAATAATTTCATAAATATTTTTAATCTAAGTAAAATTACATTTTTTAATTATAAAAATTAGGATATTGTATTAAAAAAAGTCATTAACTACAATGAAAAAATTATCAATAAGGTTTATTTATTTTTTTATTTTATTTTATTTTTTTTTGTATCAAGTTGTATCAAGTTTTATAATTAACAAATTAGTCTTCTTTCTTTATTTTTTATTATAAATTGTTATAAAAAAATTTCAATTATTCATAATAGCATATTTTATTTTAATTTTATTAATATGAACAACAAATTTTTTAAACAGTTTAATTTATTTAAAATTTATATTAAAAAAAATTTTTAATTGTTGAAATTATATGAATTTTCATAAACAAAGTATAAGTGTAAGATTCATCAACTATCTCATACATTGAGAAATATATACAATTTTCATAGTACTATTTTTCATTATTCTTTGTAATTTTAATAGAATTTAGCCATTTTACATTGTTTATAGTAAAAAAAAAAAAATCATAAATTGTAATAACAGAAAATGTTGCATTTTATAGTATATTTGTTTCAATCCAATTTTTATTTATGATTTTTAAATATAATATTAATAATTTTTGTAATAAAAAATTTTAATTTTAATTCACTTAAATTTTTTTTTATAAATTTGTTGTTCATATTAAATGAAAAAGGTAAAATTAAAATAAGATACACTGTTATGGAGTGATGAATTTTTTTTAAAATATTTTATGACAAATAGGACTTAATTATTCATATTAAAACTTGATTAGACTCAATAGTAACCTTAAAAGAAAAATAAGACATATTTATTACTTTTTCATTTTGTAAGGGTCGTGTTAATGTTATTTTCTTAAGGGTCATGTTAATGTTAACTTTACCGATACAAGCTAGAAAATTTTTAAAATTTTTAAAATTTCAAATTTTTTATGCAATTGTTCTAAAATATTTTTAGGGTTAGTTATACTTTTTACTCCGGTAGTTTCATCTAAATTTTATTTTAGTCCCTATAGTTTTAATTTTAACAATTTAGTTCCTATATTTTAAGTTTAATTTCAATTTTGTCCTCCCGTCTAAATATTTGTTAATTATGTCTATATGTAAACTTTAAAAGATTGACAAATGTCCCAAAATTGTTAATATTAACTTATAATTTAGATAGAAGAACCAAATTGAAACCTTAAAAAATTGACAAGTGTCCTAAAATTGTTAAATTTAACTACCAATTTAGATAGAATGACCAAATTGAAACCAGACTTAAAATGTATAGACCAAATTATTTCAATTAAAACTATAAATATTAAAATAAAATTTTAGTCAAACTATAAGGTGAATATTAACTCATATATATATATATATATATATTATACATTTCAATTCATACTTGTACATCTTTCAAAGTTATTGACAACCCAAAGGATCTCATTTCTATTTTCTTTTTGGGTCTTATAAGAATTTTTTTATTTAAAAGAATTAACTAAAAAAATAAAATTTCTAATTGCTCTCCTATATAATAATAATAAAATTACTTGAATTATTAATTAAAATATATTTCTGACATCATTAAAAATTATTAATTGACTTAATGATTTATTGATAAAAAGAGTCATTTATTATAAAATTAAAAAGAGTCATTTATTATAAAATTATAAACGTTAGGGGGCGAGATGTAATTTCTAGAATCATAGGAGGTAATTTATATTTTAAGCAAATCTCAAGGGTGTATTTATAATTTACTATTTGTTTTTTAAAAATGCTAAAGATCCTAAATAATTATCAGATTACACAATACTCACACAAGTATGGGTCTCATATGGTATAGGTCTCACACCCACATGAGTATTATATAGAATATTTGATAATTCATTTGAAATTCCTAACTTTACTCTTTCTTTTTAGGGTAAATTACAAACACACCCCATAAGATTTTTTTTAAATACAAATTGTCTCATATGATTTTGAAAATTACATCCCACTCCTTGAAATTTCAAATTTCATAACAAATAGTCTCTTTTATTCAAGTCAATTAACAGTTTTTAATGATATTAAAAATTTATTTCAGTTAATAATTCAAGTGATTTTATTATCATATAGGAGATTAGTAAGAAATTTTATTTTTTTTTAATTAATTCTATTAACTATTTTTTTTTTTTTTTAACAATTGGGTATTTATAATTTATTAGACCATATGAAGCAATTTGTATTTCAAGTAAATCTCAAAGGTGTATTTGTAATTTAGTATTATTTTTATAAATAAATTGTATATTATACTACTTTAATACAGAGAAGAAGCATGTTAAAAAAATCTTTGTAAATACAACAGTGTTAAGAACACAGAGATCAAATACGAAATGAAATATAAATGTCTCATCGTGTGACATC